ACTTTAAAAGCTAATTCGCTAATGATGTTCATTTTGAAGTCCCTTGCTTATTTCTAAAGATATAACAATTACAGACAAATGAATAGGATTAAATTGGAATTAAACCTAAAGTCTAGGAATGAAGAAAGATTTCGCCTTATGGACCATGTAGCAGTAAACCACTTGTTATTATCAATCAAAATATCGTAGAAGGACAATAGAAGCTTGAGAGTTAACGTTAGTCAAGTACTACCGAAACAAGATAATAGATATATTGTATGAAAACGTAAGTGGTAAAAACTTATTTTAATTAACATTGAAAGTGTGCTCATTCAACAAGGAAGACTTCATTGCTATTATCAATTTATTATATATCTTACCTAAAGGTTGTCAGGTGAAAACGGAAATGACAAACACCTCAGTTATTGTCAGCATTAGTGTTATTACAGCTGTTTGCATTTTACTTGGAATCATAATTTTTCTTACAAAAGGTATGTTCAGTATCATTTTGTTTTGCGATTTGAAATATAGCGTTAGTAAATAGATGTTTCAGTAATATTTTATCCGTCTTAGCATATTTAAGTTAATTGTAAGGAAAAATCACATCTGTCGAGCTTTCATTTCAACTATACAAGAACTTGCTATTATAAAAGTTTTTTTTTTAAAACAGAAATTTGATAGTCGTTCGTTGCTGCTGTCGGCCTTTCGAAAATAGTAAACAATAATTAACAATTAATGCAATAAAGTTCCGTCGAATGTTAATTTCGGTACGTTTGGCGATCTGTTGGAAATTTGATGCAGTAATTGTAAGTTGCAACATTTCCTTTATACGGAATTTAAAGGGTGTTCAAGGTGTGCAGAATAAAATAAATTCTAATGACAAATACGTAAATATGAGAGAGGTCAGAATAAAAGAGCTTCACAAGAATTAATTCATCAAGAACGATACACATGCCAGTAGATAAATGATACCAGAATTTTTAAATTACAAATATAGAAGCAATAAAACAATTTTTTTTTTTTTATATTTCCCTGATATTAAATACCTTTTCGAATTGGGAGTTCTCTTGTTTTTTGAATGACTTTCTAATTTGTGTATTTTCCTTTTCAATTAATGCATGCAATGATAATTTACTTGACAGACAAACTAAACAAGATACCAAAAGATACAAGGTAAGCTTTTAAAGATTATAGCTATATTTAAAATATGCTATCTAAAATAATATTTGAGAAAGATAAACGATTTTGATAGTTCAAGAGTGATATGTTATAAAAAAAACTTTTCAATCTTTATTTTTTTTTTAAATTTGTAAATACATATAAAAAGGTTGAGTACCACTAAACAATGTAAAGAACGTCTCAATTCATGCTTTGCAATATCCGGTACGTTTTCCACAGGTACGCTATGCAAAATAAGCTCACTAGAATAATTGTTAGGAATGAACATATGTTTAATAAAAACAGGATATGAAATAATCATATACATTCATTGTTTCCTTACCGAATTAACAAACGAAACAAACAGCATATTATGCTATGCAAAGAAATGTTATAATGCATATGGCAATTACTGTCTGTTGGTAGGACGTTTTTCCCCACTTTTATATGCGCAATTGCTCCTAAACCACTTGATATAGTTTTTTGAAACTTTCACAGATTCTTGCAAACAAAGTGTACTATTGTATTTTTTTTAACATCTGGAAAAACAAATATATTTTACTTTGGAATGACATGGACAGATGCACACTTTATTACCATTCTAAACCGCTTCGCCTTTAAGATCCTGATTAATTTTCCAGAATCTTTACCTTACAATGCCATTGTTCACCGCTTTTTTGTTATGATTCGACTAATTATAGGGTATTCCCGTATGGAATCATGGACTTTGCAAGTGGCCGAAGTATCATTTTGTGAGCTTTACTCGCAGTATATCTAGTCTGTCCTTGTGTTCAAGATAAAAAATAATGAGAGAAGAAAAACTAAAAGGGCATTTAAAAATAATAAGTAGCTCCCTGGTAGAAGTAACCCTCCATCGTGGACATCATGATAGGAAATGCTAGTCCCGGAAAATTGTATGAGCTGGCAAAAACACTCTGTACTCAATATCTATTGAAATTAAGAACTATTGTTTATGAAAATCACACCTTTTTTTATGAAACGGAACACAGTACACAGTTTCGCTATTTAGGGAATTTATTAGTTGTGTCCTTTGTTATAATTTTAAATCAATTATACAAGTAAATTATAAAATGTAAAAGTTAAAGAAAATTAACTTTTAACAGACAATATTCTTCTGAACGTATTACAATTAAGTTACAGAAAAAATAAAATAGTTTCACAATGCTTGTATCTATCGCCGTCAGAGGTTTGATTTTGTATTTAGGTATATCATATATTTCAAAGAGTAAAAGCTATTTTAGAGAAAATTGTTTAAATATAGTTACAATGACGTGGACAACGACGATCGAGGTGAATTGATGCATATTATATAATATTTACATTTACCTTTCTTCAATTGTTAAATACTCTATTCTTTTATCACATTTCTCTCTATTTTTCTCTTTAACATTTTCTGGTAGTAAAACATGTAATATGGATTACTCTTTTCTTGAAACGATGTTTTAAAATTCATAACATTTCAACCTTTGAGTCTATAAATTTCTAATTTCTAATATATCTATCTGCGATTAAAATTTTGCAGTCAATTTGTTTTTAAATCTTTACACTTTTGTATGAACTATTAGTTTGGTAAGAAGTACCAACAAAATAGCATACAATGGAAACGGGGAATGTGTCAAAGAGACAACAATCCGACGTAAGAGCAAAAAAAAGCCTCAGGCCACCAACGAGTCTTCAACGCATCGTAAAAGTGCTGTACCCGGAAGCACCAATTGCTGGCCACTAAATTATACTGAATACAAGTTAAGCAAAAACGTCACCGCACTGAACTCCAAAACAAACAAATAAACAAAATTAAAAAAAGAAAAAACAAAGATTAAGATGTTCCTGACCTGGGACAGGCGCAATAATGCAGCATGGTTGTGAGATCCCAACCCTTGCCGTATACCTCTAGCCAATATAGAATATAAAAGAAACACCCAGTTATATGTGGAGTAACACTCAGTTTAAAAGAAGTCCGAGTCCGATCTTAGAATAAGTAACAGAAGAAACTAAGCAAAATAATAATGAGCAACATAAATTAACATAGTTTATATTCATTAAATTTGTTCTGATATGTTCATTGCATGGCAGTTAACTATTAAAACCTAGAGGGGCAAACACATTGCAATTCAAGATGCTATCAAATAATTCAGAGTAAAAACGAAAGTAAAGACGCGGTGCAACCTCCAGTAATCTGTGAAATACTAAATTAAGATTAAGAATCATAAAAAATCGGTTTTTCTGTAGAAGAAAGTTTTCTATTTGATATATCAGTATTCACCAGAACACAACCTTTTGGAATAACTAAATGCAACACTCCAATAACAGTGTTGCAATCATCAAATTGCTCTGCACGCATTCAGGTATGTATTTTACATAAGCTGTCAAAGGTTTTGGTTTGAGCGTTGTTAGTGAATGGTTATCGAGGAAAACCCCCGAACGCACAAACGACTGTAAGTTCTCCATGGTATCATTAACTCAGTAGTCAGTACTTAGGGATGATATGATTTATAACACACTTTTTCTGAAATTTCCGATTATAACATGTATAAATTAGGAGAATATCAAAACACTTAATCTTTAACTCCTTCAGACTAGGCCTTTCAATTGCATTTTGCTTTTCCTTTTAGTTATACAGGTCCACACTTATTTAGAAATGTTTATATCATTGGATATCAAATCTGAATAGGTAATACACAACTTGCACTTCGGAAGCACGAAATTTGTGAAGTTTTGAATTTTATGATTTTTTTCTAATTATAGTGTTTTTTGTTTTTTTGAATAGAGGAATATAAATTTCAAAAATACGTAGTTACATTCTTAGAATCTAAACACTTCAATGCTGGAGTATTTACCTCTTCGGTTATTAATATCTAAATAGATACATTTTCAGGCATCTTTTTTTCTTTATTGTGATTAACATTTCAGCTAAATAGCGTTATTTCTTATTGGTTTGTCATCTATATTTTTCTTCTTGAGCCAAACAGTAACTATCATTTGACTACAGACACCCATTTTGCATATTATCAACACTTTAGAAGTCAATGACGATTACCGAATATTTATATGAAATTATGAAACATAACTGTATCAGCAAATATGAATAATCTCCAACTATCATAAATTTATAAATGTTTTTTATGTGCAGAAAGAGATTACATGAAAAAAATTGTTATCACATCTAAAAATGACGAGCAGACTAGCAATAGTAAAAAGAAAATACTACACATAAACGAAAGATTGGACATAACGGACTCCACTAAACTCGGAAGATGAACACGAATACTCTAGAAGTAAAGTAGTCCTTGTGCAACTTGCAGAACTGCTATTGATCGATGTCGGTGTATTAAAACACTAACCACACGTTTTCGCAGTCTTATATTTTAAGATACCAGTAAAGTCATCTGATCTGATATTTTGTTGATTGTGTCCTATTCAGATCATATATGAAGATTCTGCAAGTGTGATTACTAAGTCATGAGCAATTTAATTCCGTCAAATTTGAACCATATAATTGAACTTTGGTATTTGTTGTTTAAAAGTAAGAACTAGGCATTAAAATTAACAAAAAACTTTGCGGTTTGGTATCCGAATAGTACGTCCAGGTAATGTGACATGTCTTTCTGCAGATTGTCAACTTCCTTTATGCAGGGTTCATATATATTTTTAATACATTGATTCTTCTGTGTAGTCAAGTCACAGTTATGAATATGTGCTTCTCCTGGTGCGCAAAATATACATATATATGGCGGTGGAAGATAAACCAAAATCAACTCATCCAATTTTTTTGCGAATTTTTCAGGAATAATCTCACAAACATAAATGTAGTAAATGTATAATTCAATCACCACGAAAACAAATAGATAAAGAACTTTGTGATTTAGAACCTAAGTTTACGGACAATTACCGGTATAAACTATTCGGTTGGTTTATCATTATTTTTCTAATCTGTTTAGATGATATAGCAGTCGAAAATCAAATTCATCAGTCACGAGATGATATTGCTGACGATGGAGCTAATCAACAAAGTCACTCAGGAGTTGGCGAACTAGGTTTGCAGCGTGTAAAAGATTGTATTGAGACAAGTTATTAAACCCGAAATTATAAACATTTTGGAAGTCGAAAGATAGAGAAAAGATACCATGGGGGGACCATTAAATAATAAGTTTCCATCTGCAGAATAAAACTTGTCAGACGTTTTTAATTAAATTTGTTTGACTGTAGTAAAGTCATTGAATTTCAAATTTTAAGTATGACATTTAAACGCCCTCGTTTTACTGTATTCCTCGACATGAACAATGAGATTAAAAGAAATGTCATTAATCATATTATGTAGCGATATACAATTTAGGCACTGGAAAACTTTCTCATTGTTGGTATTATCAAACAGTGTACTTTCTTAAGAGTAATTTTATAGCTAAATATAGACTACCAAGATTGTATCTAGTAAATAAATACATTTGTATAAAACCCCCTTATAAATACCTAAATATCCTCTTACCTATCGTATGGTACATCTCATTCATTTCACAATTCTCCTTCATGCTCACTGGATTACAGGGGTGATCTCCAAACACGACGGCAGCTCAAACATACTAGTTGTTAAAAGGAAAAGCGACCGCAATCGACAACTCATCAGTTTTACAGTCACCATCTAGACTTGGTTGACCGATACGAAATGTCTGTGTCTTAACTCACTAACAACATTTTTACGGTCTTTGATCCTTATAATAGCATGGTAATCAGCTCAATATTCGTCTGAGCTGTTTTACCGATTGTGCTCATCTCCCAATAGTGACTTTTTGACTGAATATGGATTCTCAAGCGAGTGTTGCATGCATTGCGTCCAGCGCACGAAAATCCAACATTTATGAACATCATTTAATCACAAACACATGAACTGACTGAGAGGATCAATGCTCAAACGTTAATTTATCTGTGTAAAAATAAAGAAAAAGGGAAAAGGAGACAAAAGACAACATAAAACTATACATTTTCTACCTAAGATATCAAATTTCGAGATGCTTGATTTCAGTTCCTTTGAAAAAGAAATTTTTACCCATCCTGGTTTCCATTGCAGAAATCTACGGAAATAAGACACATTCTTTAGCTTAGAAATAAGATAATCCTTTGTCATTTTTACATTTGAAATAATGCCATACTTTTAGTACTAATTTTAGGGGTGTTGTTGTTGTTGTCACTTGTAAAACAACATGTTATAGAATGCTAATTGTATACACATGATACACTATTAAGTCCACAGAGGATAAGGAAAAAAGCATATTATTATTTCGACCAGATGGTAATATAACCTGTATGGTATCAATGTTCGTTTTAACAACACGTTTTATGTCAGTACCTTTATAAGGTATGCTCTGTTCTTCTAAAAATATGAAACGTTTGAAACTACAAGCAATCGAATATACAAAAAGTCAAATTGCATGAAAAGTTCCAAACTTAGCATTAGCCTAATTATTAAATGAAATTAAAATACATTCATAATATATCGTTTAAATCATGCAATTGCAAAAACAATAACTATAGGGCAAATGGAATAAACACGGACCGATAAGCAAGCAGCAACGATACCGTAGGACTGGTAGGAAATGCATATGATATCCCGAACATCATGTGTTTATTGAATACCTTTAAACAGGTATGTTTTGATAGCCAAAAAACATAAAACGTGTGAGAGCACAAACATATACCGTTATAGTGGCACCAATATATTTTATCCCTGCATTTGAAAATAAAGTGTTTGCTGATATTGATAATTTATATATCTATTTATATATTTTGTTAAAAAAACATCTTTCTGTTCAACAGATAATCGCATAGAAACGTCTGGCGGACGTGTGTATCAAGGCCGTGTAGACACGCAGGTAATGTTTAATATGCTATATAAAGCACTGAATGTTTCTATCAGAGAGATATATCTGAAATATGTGAAATACTATATTGCACTTGGAAAAGTATTAAGAAGAAACCGAGTGATTTATTTGCATATGCCCTGTTACTTTTTACAGCCCTTTTTCTGAAACTTCAGATATTTCAATTATTTATACCTTACTTGATTATCATTAAAGATTGGTTGTTTATTTTGGTAATACAAAAGTTTTCAAATATTAAGTTCTATCAATAAGCCGAATTATTTGTCTTAGTTTGAACAATTGTGATTTAAGAAATTGGTTGTTTTCAATAATACTTCAATTGTATTGATATTTTCTTATTGTTATTGTATAAATGACTGTTTCGATATTTAATCGTAAAAATTGTAGTAGAGAGAATTGATCAATAAAAGATACTCTACAAATTATGTCTTATAACAAATTATTATAACAAAACTACCGAACTCCATGGTAAATTCCAAAAAGGACGTCCACAAAACATGACAAAACCAAAGTTCCACTTTATCAACCAACAGAACGACTGGAATAGAATCGTCATGGAAATATTCTAGTTCAAAATCGTTAATATATAGATGTTTTTGTTCTTTCATATAAATTAGGAGGAATCGAGGGTGAGTGGTTGATGTAGTCTGTATGGTATTAATGGCGATCCTTGTTTCCATCATAAGAACAGGGTATACAGTGTATCCACCATTTTCTACCTAAGGAAATACCTGTACAAAGTCAGGAATATGACAGTTGTTATCCATTCGTTTGATGTGTTTGAGCTTTTGATTTTGCCATTTGCTTAGGGACTATTCGTTTAGAATTTTCCTCAGAGTTCGGTATTTTTGTTATTTTACGTTTTCCTGACTAAACTGTATATTGTTACTTAGATGTTTTAATTGTTTACCTGGATTTTGGCCCCCCCGATAGTTAGACTTTTCGTCCAATCTTTTGTGGAATGTGATACTAGGAACATAAATATTGTATGTTTTTGTCCTTGCTACAATCCTGAAATATGTGCAACTTTTCTCTATATTTTGTTTTTGATTTCGAACATTGGAGTTTTGATACTATCCCAAATAAAAGTGCCTGTAATTTTAGTCAACAAATTCAACATTATCTATAAAAGCTTTCACGATCCTCCTTAATTAACAATATATCAGTTAATAGTCATACTGCTGGTAGCTGCAATGTACAGGGTTTTTATTGATTCATATCACTGTACACAGCTATTATTGCAGTCCATGTTCACACCATCTTGACACGATTAAAACAATAGTAAGTTTAAGCTGGTTGCTTGTTGGTTTGTTTAAGATTTTTTGGCTTGAATGAGTTATAAAATTTGTAACACATCAGGAGGAGGAGAAAACATAATATAAAGATGTTTTGACAATATGGGTATTCTATAACCGATCGATGACTATGTTGCTTATTCCCTATTCATTTTGTATCTTATTACTAATAATCATGAAACTGAAGACCAAATAACATGAATAATAGTGTACGAAAAATAAAAAAAAAACTTAATGCATTCTATAGAAAAATTATAAAAGCTGTTGATTTCTATTACACTCACAACATGCAACAAAACAGAAAGACACAAAAGCTGTCATTTATTTATTATTCTGTTAAAAGTTAGTTAGTATTTTAGTTCTAGGGCACATGATCTAGACAGGCAAGGGAGATGTTTGTGCGCAGACTTAAACTGGTATTTGTTTCAGTATTCATTGCATTCAGATGAAATTACAAGAACGTTTTGTATATAAAAAAGGCTTGCCTTGAAAATGCATAGATAAGAGAAAATAAAAAAAATCAACAAAATGAATGATTAGTTTATTCTTAAATTTTTCACATAAATATAATCGCTTTTTACGACTTCTTTGTAGGGCAGCAACGCACTGAATTATGCTGAAATTTGTTTTCCTCCTGGATCATCCCAGTCTAAATGTGTCGTGCACGGAAAAGAAAATATGACCATATATTCAGATGTTATCCTTCCAATGGCAGGTACAACTGTACATTCAGACCAATAGTAGAGACAACGATATAAAAAAAAAGATATATTTCATATATATTAAAGTCAACAGTTGAGTGGACACTGTCAGTTGAAGGCTGTTTTTTGTTTTAGTTCAGACGGAATCAAAAAGTTGGATTGCATATTGTTAACTGGAATCGTGATGCTTTTAGCAAGTTATTTCATACGATAGTTATATGTATCTACATTTTTGTAAATCATTTGATATCTATTTTCTCAATATTGTTTGGGAAGAACTGCTATTAGTTTTTAAATATTTTTGTATTTTTATTTTGTAAATATTAAAATCATTTTATTTTAATTTTATGTATATATATATATATTATCATTATTATCTAAGTTAAATGATCAAAGAAACTGAAGAAGATGACATGATTAATGAGGTGTTTATATGAATACTTGATCAGTGGAGAAACTGAAAATAATTATATCCTTTGTATTTGTATCTATATTTTCAACTTGATTTTCAGTTTGAATTATTTGTTTTTTGTTGCTTAAGACATTTTTGCTCGACTTTCTTCAAATGTTTTTGTTGTGTTTTTTTTTTTTTTTTTTTTTGGTTATTTTTCTTTGACATTTTTTATTATGTTTACTTCATTAATGTGATTTCATTATCGGCATTAACTCTAAGCAAGGCTAGGCTATTTTGTTGTTGCTATTTATCTCGACCTCTCGGTCAGACTTGTGGTCAACACAGCAAGTTAACATTTGCAATCTTACTAAAGCAGCAACTGAGGAAGTCAGCTGTAATATGTCACTTGCTACTTAAAAAAAACTCTAAAGCAATGTAATCTTTAAACTCTGAACTTTTATTGTTACTTTTACTTTCACAAAATTTATAAAAGATACAAGGCTTTTGATTTTGTACTTTAGACGAATGTTTCGTCGACACAAGAGTCAAGGGTCATCAATCAGGGAAAGCAGATGGAATAAAATGCCAAAAGTCATTTAGACTTTTGGAAATATGACTGTCTGTATCGCCTGCAACAAAAATCGCAGAATACGGGACATAGGGATAACTGTCCAGCAGCGGCATAAACTATTTGTATAAATCGTTATATTTCAACGGTTTACGCCTAAGATGCATTTCACCTTGTATGTAGATGCATTATGTAACGAATTCAATGTTTATCATACGTCAATTGTCCTTCACCACCTTATTATGGTCATAGACTGCTAAAAAAAATTTCAGATTTGTTTTTTCATGTGTAATACTCACTTATTATGAGTATAAAAATAACCAGATGTGGTATATGAAATCTTCCAAAGGTCGGCATGTCCACCAGACAGGGTTCATCTGACCTCAACATCTCCAATATTTTAAGCAATAGGTCAACTGCATTAGTGTATGGGATGATTGTTTGGTGTATATGTCCTATAGGCAGAGTTCATCTGACCTTGATCTCATTCTCATGGTTTATTGGTCAAAGTTAAACTTTTAATGATGATGTCTGTTTCTCAGATACTATAATAAACCGGTAAACTATATTTAATCTTATTTACATTTAATAGATTTAAACATTAGCCCTCTGCTGCTATAGAAGTTGCAAAATTATTCATTTTATCATACAAGTTAACTTGGAAATATTATATACACATGATACATATATGTATTTACGTGAATACATTAAACTCTTTGTTCAAAAATGTAATATTCCTTTGTACAATGTTGTAAATGATATCGCTTCCTTATAAATATAATAGGTATCTAATGTAACATAATTGTTTAATATACTTTTCATTTTCAAGTGTACATTTTGTAATTATTACAGTAGTTTGTTTCTTGATGTATTTTATTTTTGGTAATTGTCTCATTGACGTTAACCCAGAAATGACTTTTGTCCGGAACAGTTTAACTTTATTCACAGCCGATTTTGAGATATGTTTTGGTAATACAAAAGTTTCTTTGGTTTAGACAAAGTTCATGATAAGTTTTGTTTTGTCCTGAAAGAATATAAATCTTTTTTTTTTTAGGTCAAATTAAATATTGAAAGCTATTTAAGAAGAGAGAAACAAATTCTAATAAAAGTTATAAGGCGATAGATATAAAAACATTCAGGTCTCTTAATAAACTGAATTGAACAACTTAATAGTATACATTTTCGTCCTAGAAACAATTTAAGTAAAGCTTACACATAAATAATAAAGCAGTCGCTGGTACGAACTGGTAACGAGACACAAAAAACATTTCATTGAAAAATATTTCACCTTTGTGTCAGTTTTCTTTTACACATATATTGCTTAGATTGTTAATTAAACTCCAAGGCAGTAAAATATTTGAATTGAATTGTTTATCCTTGAATCAATAATATCGGTGACCATTCTAATCAAGTCTGATAGAAGGAATACTTTAAATAACTCTCACTCCATGCACTCTTCATTATCACTTTCTAGTAATCCTCAAAATTAAGCTGTTAAAGCATTGTTAGTTCAGTCATGTTTTTAAGCTATGACACATTCATTATTCCCATAGGGCGTTTGTCGAAGTTGTCGTCATATGAAATTCACCGACGATTCTGTATGATTGTCGTATTACACTATGTACAAGCAATTTGCCGTCACTATTAAAGTCGTTTCAAGGTGAACAGACAGTATTTTACTCCTTTTTTTTTCTTTTTCATTCTTTTTCACTCTTTCTTTTTGATACTGTGTCTAATCAAAAACGTTATTTTGAATGTCAATAGTGAAAACAAATCAAAAACAACAAAAAAACTATTTACAGATGCAAGAAATGCTTTATTATTTTGTTATACATGTATATTTATTCGTTCAGTGTATGTTTGCTTGTTTTTGTTAATATGTTTTTTGATTGAGTTAAACCATTTCAATTGATATTTTATAGTGTGTCTTTCTATGTTGTGATGTGAGACTGCTGTTTCAGGTTAGGGTAAAGGTTGGCGCCTGTTAAAACGTTTAAACCCGCTGCATTGGTTTGCACCAGTCCTAAGTCAGAAACCTGTTGTTCAGTGGTTGTCGTTTGTTGATGTGGTTTATAAGTGTTTCTCGTTTCGCGTTTTTTTATATAGATTAGACTGTTGGTTTTCCTGTTTGAATGGTTTTACACTAGTCATTTGATAACTTGTTGTTCGGTGTGAGCCAAGGCTCCGTGTTGAAGGCTGTACTTTGACCTATAATAGTTTACTTTTTAAACAAATTGTGACTTGGATGGAGAGTTGTCTCATTTGCACTAATACCACATCTTCTGATATCTATATAAACTTATCATATTAAAATTATGCAATAAACAGCAAAGTAACTGGAGAGTATTTCTCATTTGAATATAACTAATGGATATTGAAATATACATTTTGACGAGTAAAATACATACCTAAATTGGTAAGGGCATATTGCTCCATCGAAAATCTCTCAGTAAATGGATATTCTTGTGTCGAAATTCTTTCATGATAGTTTTGTGGTCCTGCATGGAAGACAAAATACTAATAAAGTACACTTGTTTTGTTTTGTATTTCGTTGATTGTTTTGTTAAAAATTAGTCCATAAGTTTTTTCAATTTACTTGTTTTATATTTTTTATGTCTGGGCCTTTTATAGTCGACTATACAGTATGGGTTTTTCTCATTTTTGAAGGCCGTACGGTTATTTATACTTGCTAACATCCACTTTATTTGAACTTTGGTGGATAGTTGTCTCATTGGCAATCATACCTCATCGCCTTATTTTTATTTTGAACAGTGGTTTGTATCAAATATGTTGTATTCCTACCCTTTAAAATAAAAAGATTTTGGTTTTTGTGTTTGATTACTAGTATGTTCCATTATTATTGTTTTCGATTTCACTCATAGTATATTGTTGGGAAAAAAAAAAGTTAACTGGACTGAATGAACCAACTACTAGTAATATTAAACTCCATTATCGAAAAAGGTTCACTAGTTTTTCATCTCTGTTATGTCTAATATTTAAGTATAACTGAAAATGGCATTTGTGCATGGTTATTTGTTTAACTTGATAAACAACTACAATCATACATCAGGTGAATTGCATAATTTTGCTGAATGAGTTCTGTTGTGCAGTTCATTGCTGTGTCACCGCAATATGAATTTTTGACGCATAGTGGTACTAATCTTTTTTGGATTATAAGCTCTTCATGTTTTAATAAGTTTATTTTTATTTAAAATATATTGTCATCGAGCATCAATCAGGAGACATAAATTGGTAAAATGCGCATCTTGTGCCGAAAAATGGTACCATTAATGTTACTATAAGCTTGTATTGGGAGAAATAATATTTTTAAACCTTTATCTGATATATTTAACTTCTTACTTGTCATTTTAAAGAACACGCATGCAGCTATTATTATAACAACGTTAGTTATTAAAAGAATAATAATAACAGCTTCCATCCCTGTGTTTTCTGAAATACATAAGAATACATTTTAAAGATTGGGGTTTAACATACAAACTTGTTTTTGTTTACAAGCAACATACCTTGATGCATCTAAACTTTTTGGAGGACCCATTGTAATATATATTACAATAAAGAATTTTAGAACGTATGTTGTTTAACGGCGAATACACATGATATATATGCATGACAGTTAAACATTTATGCATATAAAATGTAATCGTTTTACATGACACATATTATTGAGAAGCAAACACGTTTAATATTTATTTTAAAAGACTGTTTATCAAAATTAAATGCAAATTATCATTGGCAACTATGCATGTATGTCGTAAGTCCAATTGTAGTTTCTTTCCAAAACAATAAATGAGATACAATATATTAACTTGAAATGTTATTATATATGCCATAATGACAAGCAATTACATGTGTGTATATTTTCTTAACTATGTTGTATAAAACGACACTCTGGTAGGGTTTTGTAATCTGTATTTATAGGTCTACTGTCCGAAAAGTTAGTTCCTGTTTAATATCAGGTTTCTGTTGATGTCTTATCATATTGACTGTGTTGTTCATTCTCTCCATTATCTTATCGCGTTGCAGTAACGAGTGGTCACTTAAACAGTGACATTCTTTGTAAATGACCACTCCGTTAAAGGGGTAATTAAGCGTCCCATAATTTAGACGAACGGATGAATATAATTGAGAATGAAAACGGCGAATGTGTCAAAGAGACAACGATCCGATCTACGAGCAGAAAACAGCCCAAGACACATTGGGTTACTTTTTAAGGTCCTTTTTAGTCTATAACTCTTCAACTGTTATGATTCTTATGCGACCTTGGCTTTTGAATACCTTTAGTGAGCGTTCCTGGTAAAGTTGAATCCAGAAAAGTGCTTCCGACGCATGAAATATTTAAAAGTTTCCTTTTTTTGTATTAATCTTATGATGATAATACTCATTTCCAATTATTTAGATATAAGAAGATGTCGTTTGATTGCCAATGAGACAACTCTCAATTCAAGTCAAAATTTGTAAAAGTAAAAAGTAAAATCCCAAAATACTGAACTCCGAAGAAAATTCAAAAGGGAAAGTCCCTAATCAAATGGCAAAATCAAAAGCTCAAACACATCAAACGAATGGATAACAACTGTCATATTCCTGACTTGGTACAGGCATTTACTTATGTAGAAAATGGGGGATTGATACTGGTTTTATAGCTAGCTAAACCTCTCACTTGTATGACATTCGCATCAAATTCCATTACATTGACTACGAACCATTACTTATTGCCTTACCTTGGTTTTCGTCGCTAATAATCCTATTACAAGTTATGTTTTTCTCATAGTCTAATAGGTATGTTCCTATTTCACAAGTTATACTGAGTAAACCCGGACAACTTGCTGGTGTCAATAAGAATGTTCCTGTTATAATTGCACAGAAGAAGAGTCCTTTCAGAATTTTAGTTGTCGTCATGTACGATGAAATATCTTCATCCTAAACAACAAAAACAGCAATGAAATACAAAAAAATTAAAAGATTACTTACAAAGAAAATAAGCAAAACAAAAAACATTCAGTTAAATTTGATAAAAAAACACCTTATCTTTTAAAAAAAAACCCACTTAGAGGCCTTTATGAATATATTATTTTCTTACGGTTTTCTCTTTAAAACGAGTTCTTAACCAAGTATTTTAAAGTCGTTAATGTTCAGGAAATGATCGTACCAATTCATACATATATACTAAGCTAAGTCCTCAATGCACCTTTATTTATATTTATTACGAACTCATAATGTATAATCGATAGAAAAATATGAGTGTTGATCGCAAACTTTGCCTTCTAATTCGTGTTCATCTTCGGGTTTGTTGCTGAAGTTTACCGGATCGTGACATTGATAAGAAATCAACACAGAATCAGGAAACGCATGAAAAATAATTCAATAGCAGTACATTTCTCAAGGTTTTGATAAATTAAAAGGATTTTCTTTTACAAAAGGTCCGTCTGCACTTGTTTTATAATTATCTTCACCAATTCAGATATATTAAACATATTATTTTTTTTTATTTGAAGTTTCATATGAAGTTAATCGTTTAATAAACGGTTCTATATATTTAGATAATATGATCATCCTACACTGTATGAAATATCGCCTTGGCTTATTAAAAAATATTGTCATGTAAAATAAATGTTGCATATTAAACTAACGTACGTTAATTGCAGCCGAACATTTTGGTCGTGGATACACTGTTTCAATAGATATATCAACAGATAAAACGTTGGTATCAGTAATATTGATACTCCCAACATATGGTCCAGACTTGTGATCTGCCAAAAAAAAATATCATCAAATAATATACTTATTTTGTATTATGATGTAATGTATTCAAACTACAAAACCCAGTGTCAGAAGAATTTGGAATACCAAAATCAATTGAACATTCCAATATTATTACAATTCGTTTTTTCCTTCAAATAAATATACTAGCAAATACATATTTGTTTTGATAGTGATTGAGATAATTAAAACACAATGTTGAATGCTGTACGCAAACTTTTGACATTTTTACCTTTTATGTCTGTTTGTTTTGCTCAGATATTGTTGTCAATATAAGGGAATTATATGCGACTGCCATACAAGTGTTAGGTTTACTTAGCTATAAAACCAGGTTTAATCCACCATTTTCTACATAAGTAAAATGCTTGTACCACGTCAGAGATATGACAGTTGTTCTCCATTCGTGTGATGTGTTTGAGCTTTTGATTTTGCTGTATGATAAGGGATTTTCCGTTTTGAATTTTCGATGAAATTTAGAAATTTTGTAATCTTTCTTTATACACATATATCCACAGGAACGAATTATAACAAACATATACAAACGCATATACATAACCTAAATGAAGACAATTATGCTTGAAAAACAAACGTAGAAACCGTAAAATTTAATGTAATCATCAAATTAATGTATTAATTTCGTGCGTCCAAATCGCTTTTCTGGATGAAACTTCATCGAGACCCACACATATCAAAAACATATCAAAAACCAGGGATATTAGGTTGCATTAGGGAGTTGAAACCTTAGTATCTCCTTAATTTGATAACGGAAAATGTTTAGAAACAATTTGTTAAAAATTAGTATCATTATCTAAGCACTAACTTTGATGATCCTCTCGGAGACTAACATATGAAAAATGATGTGGTATATTTGCCAATGAAACAACTCTCCATCAGAGACCACATGAAGTAGAAGTTAACAAGTATAGGTCATAGTACGGACTTCCACAGTGAGCAAAACCCATATCGCATAGTATGAAACAGTATAGACTAACCATAACCAATACCAGCTTAAAAGGGGGATGATACAACTGTATACGGTAGGTTAACAGTTTCATGTCAACTAATGCTAAGCATGGTACTCTTTGCAAGTATGATATCGGTGGTAGATATCATTCAGTGATATAACAATCGAAGAACAAATGAAGGTTTTAGGCTACGACTTGTGCAAAATAACACTAGCTTACGTCGATGTTATTCAAAAATTGTTAAAGTTTCATTTTAAAACATTTATTCATTGATTAGACTAGTAATGGTACAGTCGATCGCCTTTTTATGATTTCATTTTTAAGGGTTTTTTTATAAGCATTTTAAAATTTTGAAGAAAAAAAAAATAATATATCATTTGTTTTAAATTTCAGAGTGACAAGACACGGAGCCAAGATAATTAAACTACTCCAAGTGAATATTCCAAACTCAATATTCAGTGCTTTTTGTATGTGTTTGAGCTTTGATTTTGTTATTTGATGAGGGACTTTGAGTTTTGAATTTTCCTTCGAGTTCGGTAGTTTGTTGTTTTACTTTTTTGTACTTACATTCAAATATATCTTCTGTCAAATTCAGAATTTTCACAAAGGTTGAGGATCCATAAATACACTCATATGGGATATTAATGTCCATGATATCAAAATGATGTATAATTAAGATTGAAGTTTTATTCTCTTTATTGAAGTCTTCAGAATATTTGCTAGTATTGATAGAAAACCCGTTCATTGTCAGTAAATGTAGATCATTCCCTCCCAGCCACCTTCGAGACTGCATTATCTTGCAACAGTTCAGCGGGAGTGTGCACTTTAGAATAACATCCTCGTAAAAAACAGCTGGTATAGTTTCAAGTTCCCAGTTAATTGTAGCTGAAAAGAGATCAATATTTCATTATATTTAAATGCATTTTATACCAGTAAATAATGAAACACAGCAATATTCAGATTAATATAGATATTCAAAAATTCAGTGTTCAGATTTGAATTTTTACATCGATACTTATGAAACGTTTATTCATCTTTCAGAAACCATAAACATTTATCGTTTTTCGTAATTTAAAGAGGAATTACGAATAAAAACTTTTCTTATGCAGAGTAAAAACACTAAACGTCACTTTTATTAAAGGAATGTGATTTTCGAAAACCAGAAAACCCTTTTTTGGTTGTAACTTTGATACTGCATATGTCCTCCTATTTTTATATAATCAGGATTTCCCCCTGTTGTTCAAATACATTATTAAGACTAACCTGTTGAAGATGAAATAAACTTTAATAGAAACAGAAAGTGGCTGACGAGCATGTAGCGTATCTTCATTGTGTCTTGCTGATTAAAAAACGTTGCTATCAGAAAGCGTAAGCCTACAAAAAATATCAGTCTTGAATTGCAATTAAGTAGCAATGACATTCTTTTTTCTTTACTTGAAACAAAAGTAGCCAACAATTCGAAATTATTATAATTCCCGTAAGAACAAAAAAAAAACGATAATGTAACTTTAGAGCGCTACTGAATTCGGAGGGTGAACAAAAACGCATTTATTTTGAAGGCAGCATAGTCATGATAGTATTTCCAACAGAAATGAAAAGTTAGTGTAGTGCTTTTCTATGATATTGCAATAGTGCATTCAATGCAAATAAAACTTTTAATTATAGACATTTTCAGTAGCAAACAAAAGTTTTTAATAGTCCATCAAATTTTTCTATGCAAAAAGGGTAACTGCATGAATAATTGTGAATACCTTCCATCGTAGAATAAATATTGCACCCGCAAGCGTATCCAATTATCTAAAGATTTTCTCAGGACAATGGTCGCCAATATTAATGTAATAACCATATATTATAACATTAGCAGATCCGTATTCAGTGATTCGTTACTGACATAATTTAAAACATATATTACACTTTTCATTAATAAATTTTAAAATAAGGTTTTAACAGGTTAGGGAAAGATGACATAAAATGATGTATTTTAGGTCCCTTTTGGTCATCAAATATTCATTCATACATCCTGGGCTAGCAATGTTTTTGGTTTAAGTTCGCTGGATGAAAATAAACAATAAAATTGTCCGCAGGATGCATCTTGATACGACCATAAAGATCGAACCCTGAACAGTTAGGGCAAAAGATAAGACAAACTATTAGCTAAAACGTTGTAAGGGAGGTAACTCTTAATGTAAAAAAATAATCAAATGAAATAGATCAAATTTAAGCAATTCAGCAAACCAAACACCCGTACCATTTAATTTCTGTTGAATTAAAGACCCTTTGTATTTTTGTATTCTTGTCTTTCATTTTTGCTAAATTAAATGTGCTTTGTCTATATGCCTTTTTGTGTTTTTTTTGGTTACATATAACGTGGCTCTGTACTTATACATCCCGTCATTGTGTTATTGTGCAATGGTAAATATTTGTATTCCTGTCTTTCATTTTTGCAAATGTGCTTTGTCTATATGACTTTTTGTGTTTCATTGTTACATATGACGTGGCTCTGTACTTATAAATCCCGACATTGTGTTATCGTGCTTTGGTAAATTTTTGTATTATTGTCTTCCCTTTTTTCTAATGTGCTTTGTATATATGCCTTTTTGTGTTTCTTTGTAACATATTATTTTGTTTTTATAGTGATTAAGATTATAACACAATGTTGACTGCTGTACCCCAATTTTTGACATTTTACCTATTATGTCTGTTTGTTTTGTTCACACATCGTTGTCAATATAATGAAATGTTATGCGACTGTCATACGAGTTAGAGGTTTAGCTAGCTATAAAACTAGGTTTAATCCACCATTTTCTACATAAGAAAATGCCTGTACCAAGTCAGGAATATGACGGTTGTTATCCATTCAGTTGATGTGTTTGAGCTTTTGAATTTGGCATTTGATAACGGATTTCCCGTTTTGAATTTTCCTCGGAGTTCGGTATAATAGCTATTTTACTTTTTGGACGTAACCCTGATGTGGGCCAATTTAAAAATGGACCCAAACCCAAAATCTTTAAACATTATTAGATTCATCATATGGAAATCAATCAAAGTTTATTTTGTACCCTAATTTGGACCCACTTGAAAACACTGTCCAAAATCAAAATTTAAATACACAGTAAGACTAAGCATATCCAAGACCCAAAAAATAAACAATTTTTTAAACCACTTTGGAAAATGGTCAGAAATAAGCAGTTCAAACAACGTTAAAGAAATAGCCTTCTTTTAACCTCTTTTTTCTATGCATATGACCATTACCTCCAAATTCAAGAAAACCTTCCTTTTGTGGTATAGAACATTGTGTTACAATTTCACACAAACTCATAAACTTATACTCAAACCTTTGAATTTTTCGAAATTCTTAGGATTTTCTACCCCAGGAATACATTGCCTGGCATAATTTTAGTAATCTAGGAATTAAGGATCCTCAATACTAGACAACTTCGTACTTTCTTTGGCTTTTTTTTTTTTTTAACTTTTTTAATTCGAGAGTCGCGCGTGTCTGGCGTACACATTCAATTATTGTGTCTATGAAGAGTATTTATCTCTAGATATTTGGTTGTTTTTTTTGTCGATGGGTCGCTGTTTCTATGACGTATACCCAAATTTGATAATGCCATTGTCATAATAACAGAAAAGAAACATAACGCGTCAACAACATTAACTGACACGGTTAATGATTGGTTTCAAATTCAAAAAACAAAAAAACGCTTTGCTAAACGTGATTAGGGAATTAACATAAATTCCTGTCTTGTTGAAGCTGGTTATTAAACAACTGTAATATTGTATAATTTAAACCACAAATTTAAGTTTACTTTATCATATTAGTATGAATTACAAATCTATTGGATCTTTAACGTTCGCAATACAAATGTAGATATTTATACTGAATATACACGTTTATTCTATATTTAGATTAAATAATTTCACCACAGAGTGGCAATACTTATATAAAATTGTACAGAGTTGGTGATTTGTACTAATAGTCGCACTGATATATTTTTCATGTGTTTTTCTTTTAAATAACGTGTTACAAAGAGGTATACACTAAAAGCTGATGTTGACAAATTAGATTTAAATTTTACAGATTAAAATCGACAATGAACATTTAATCACAGTCCTGTTGACAGCTAACCTGTACACGTCTTTGTATAAATAATTTAGTAGCGTCTTGGTGTACATGTACATCGAACACATCAATCATTTTATGATATCATTGATTGTGATTACAGGACGGGAAAGGTGTATATTTACGCGAAACAAAAAAAAAAGGGGGGGGGCAATAAATGGTAAAGCAAGTATTGACTTTTTGATTGAAAAAATAACTAAGTAAGCCAGTTTGAATTTGTGTTACAGTTCATACTGTCGCTCCACTCCACCCGCATCAATGTGAATAGTCCTGTTGTTATTTTACTCTCTCGGCTTTCATCTTAGCGTGTTTTACATATAGTCGACACACCCGGTATCGTTCATTTTTCATTAACATTGCATTAATTGGTTAAACTCTATTATTTGATTTTACATGAATATGCTATAGATATAAGAAGATGTGGTATGAGTGCCAATGAGACAACTCTCCATCCAAGTCAAAATTTATAAAAGTAAACCATTATAGGTCACAGTACGGTCTTCAACACGGAGCCTAGGCTCACACCGAACAGTAAGCTATAAAGGGCCCCAAAATATTACTAGTGTAAAACCATTCAAACGGGAAAACCAACGGTCTAATCTATATAAAAAACGAGAAACGAAAAACACTTATAAACCACATCAACAAACGACAACTACTGAACATCAGATTCCTGACTTAGGACAGGTGCAAACAAATGCAGCGGGTTTAAACGTTTTAATGGTACCAAACCTTCACCCTTTTTCTGAAACAATAGTGTAACATCACAACATAGAAAGACACACTATAAAATATCAACTGAAATAGCTTAACTCAATCAAAGGACATATTAACACCATTGAACATACACTGAACAAATAAATTTCACCTATGACACAATGTAAATACAAAATAAATAAACTAAGGGAAGAATAATAAAAGTAACATGTTATATCGGTAAGAAATGTTAAACAATGAAAGAAAAACAATATGCTCGATTAAAAATAACATCCATTTTCAATAACTTTAAACACAGGTAAATGAAAATAATTTTGTTGTTAGGTATACCTGTACAGTACCAATAGAGAAAGGAAATATGTTTGTTTTGTCTTTATGTCAGTTATTTTTGTGTGGTTCGTCTAGATCGTTTTATTATTTCCAATAGATTTGTTTTACGATTCCTTCTTATGTTGTGCAGTTACACCACTGTCTATTTCTAAGAAATGTCATGTCAGGGCCTTTTATCACTGACTAACTTGTATAGGTTTCGATCATTGTTGAGGGCCGTACGGTTACCTTTATTTGCTTAACGTCGATAAATTTGGACTCTATTTGATAGTTGTGTTATTGGCAATCATACCGCATCTCCTCGTTTAATATTAAGGAAAATACGATTTGCATAAAAAAGCTTTTCTTTTAACGAAAGATACAATCATATTAATTTTAGGCAAACACAAAATAAAAATGAAAGGATGCGATTTCTTTGACTTTTCCCAAATAGGTATCAAACATATTCTTATATTTTAGAACATCTGCAAGGTTCCAGGGGTGCCATATTGTTATAATTTATGCGCCTTGTTTTGGATAAAAAATTACTGACTTTAAAAAAATAAAATAAAATAAGACGTATTTACATTGTATGAATTCTGTTCAAAAGTTCTGTACTTGGGTAAACCCCCTTTAAGTTCAAAGATCCGTATGTATTGATTTTAAAAATGCAAAAAAAAAAATCCAAATATGTTTACTGTAAATCAACTAATTTTCGCGAGCGTTTTATTTT